CCAAGGAGCGCAAGGTTTGCTAACTCTAACAGTTCTGTAAGGACAGTGAATATCAAATAGCTGGGTAATATTGTTAGAAAGAAATCGAACTTTACTTTCTATATCTCTTATAGAGATTAGGTCATGCCAAGGAAAATTAGATAGATCATTGTTAAAACAGTCAAAATTGATTTTTTTAAAGTTTCTAGAAGTGACAAATTTTTGTTGATTACCAGTAAGATTAAATTTTATGACGCAGTAAGCAAAGCGGTGATCAGAAAATAGGTCAGCATTTAGAGTTCCACTAGCTTAACAAAGTTTTGAATTATCAACGTAAATAGGATCTATAAGCATTGCCGAAGTTGCTGTAATTCGTGTAGGTTCAGCTATTACTTGTGTCAATCCGTATGCTTCAAAACAATGGTTAACATTGTCATTGCTGTTAGTTACATCACCCATAACGAAGATATTTTTAAACTGAGGGACTAATGAAGTCAACATATCATCTAGCAAGTTAATAAAACAAGGAATAGAACCCTTAGGAGGTCTGTAAAGAATGTCTACTGACACACATTTGCTATTTATTTTCAGCTTAACCCATAAATATTCCAAGTTAGAAGATTCTCCAGATGTCATAACTTGACAATGATATTTACATTTAACAAAAATTCCTACTCCACCCCCACGATTGTTACGCTCATGTCTAAAGAAATTATATCCGTCAATGTGTATAAAATTAGATGGTATATCGGCTTTAAGCCATGTCTCAGATACAGCGACAATATCAAAATCGTTATCACATACGAGAGTACAGATATAGAAAGTAGTATGAATGAAAATATTGTCCAAAGTAATTTGGACGAAATAGAGAGAATAGAGATTCAGATTCCAAATCTAAGTAACTAAATACAAGTAAAGTAACAAAAACAAGAGTGGTTAAACCACCCTGGAAACTGACCTCTAAATCCTTAAAAAGGAGGATGTAGCATTGGCAACCAGTATCATGTTTGTGTATACCGTGTTGCCTATAGCTTAGTTCATAATCAGTTGTTATTTGCACAGCCAACGCCAACGCGCAGGTCAGAGATACGGCGATGTCCGTTGTAGTTCATGGCAATTGTCGATGTGAGCGAGTTGTTTGTACTCAGTACCATGTTTGTATCTTTATAATAATAAATAGTAAATCTACGCATATTAATAATTACCCATCCACCACTAAATACGTTACAATGGCTATGATGATAAATATTAGCGGCAGATAAAATATTTGATTTTTACAGTGAGATAAAGTGTTTTCTTCCTTCCGCAAATCGTTATGGTAATGCATGGCTTTCTTGACGTGTGGCGATAATATATTTTAAATGTCGTAGAAGATGATCCTTCTGCAAGTGTCCTAAAAATTGACTGCCCAGTTTTATTGTTTAAAATCGACGCTCTCTATAATCTCCAGAGAGCAATAATTGTATCCATTTAACTTTCGGAAAGACAATGCGCTTCTTCCCGAAGATTTTTCGCGAAGAATCGAATATTCTAACTGGGTTTTAGATGGGCACAGAAACGATGCAAATTTTCTAAACACGGTATCATTATCTTCCATAATTTGCATTTGTGGACAGAGGAAAATCCGCATGTTTATATTGTAGCGCATTATCAGCATCAATTTGGACCCGTCAACGTGTGGGCCGGAATCATCGGCAACATTTAATTAGGCCATTTGCACTGCCAAAAACGTTGATTGGAGAACTTTATTTGGAATTTCTTCAAAATAATTTTCAAATTTTTTTAACAGATTTTCCTTTGGAAATACGACGTAATATATGGTTCATGTATGATGGGGCCCTACCACATTTTATTCGAGTAGTTCGAGAATACTTAAACGCAACTTCTGAAATTGATAGATAGGAAGAGGAGGACTAGTCCCTTGACCTTCTCTAACTCGACCTTAATCGCTTATAATTCTTTTTGTGGGGATATTTAAAAAATTAAGTTAATTCCAATCCACCTGACAGCAGATAAAACTTTCCGCGAAATAAGGACTAATGTTGGGGTCTAACAATCTTTAATTCTTAGAGCTAGGGAATGCATACGATTAGAAGGTACTCATATTGAACCGACATACAAAATTATTTAATAAAAATTGTCAAAAAAACTATAGCAACAAAAAAGATTTTCTATCAGTGACAACCAATACAAAAAAACATTTAAAACGAAAACATGTCATTTTATCGATATGTATCAAAAGTTCCGTTTTTTTTCTAAGTCAAAAAGTCAAATTGTCCATTTTATGGAGACTTATCTAGTATTCATCTTATTTGAAAATTAATAAATTTTACCAAAGACTGAAAATTATTTAAAAAATTTTCAGGAGTTTCTATGATGGATATCTCGGAAAAGGGAAGTCGTCGGAAAAAATTTATAGGAATGTTATTTTTATGTTTGACAAGGGGGGTAGCCATGTGAGTTGAGGTAATTTTAAGGTGAAGGGTGAGAAAAAGTCCTTTATATCTCACAAGGAAAGCCAATGTTTAATTGTTTAACAAAACATTGAGTGCGACCGGTTTCGAAGTGTCATCACTTCATCTTCAGGCTCGCCTAGTGGAAAGGAGAATATGTGGTGTAAGGTGTGTTGGAAACAAAACGATATATAAAATAATAAAAAAGAGAAAACTCACCATACTCTCCATCCACTAGGGAATACTACAAAAACAAGTTTCATCAATTTTGGGTTGAAATAAATTGTAAAATGAACCGATTTACACGTAATAAAAAGTTAAAAATATTTGAAAAAACAAATATTAGTCAATTATAGTAAAAATTTAAAATATTCAAGACTATACAAAAATAGCCTTAGCCTTAGCCCAATATTAGCAGACATATTTATGCACAATTTTGAAAAAGAAAAAATCCTTAAAAACAACCTTTTCCACTCAAATGTGAAATTCTATTATAGATATGTTGATGATATTTTGATTTTGTGGTCAGGTAACTTAGACTCATTAAATGACTTCTTGACTTATATTAACGACTTACATTCTAATATTAAATTCACATTAGAAATTGAAATAAACAAATCTATTAACTTTTTAGATCTTAAAATCTCACACAATAATAACAAGTTCAACTTTGACATCTATAGAAAGCCAACACATACAGGCACAGTTATAGACAATACCTCTAACCATCCAGCAACACATAAATTGGCTGCCTTTAATTGCTACTTAGAGAGGCTATTAAACGTTCCTCTGTCTACGAAAAACTTTAATAAGGAACTAAATATAATTAAAACTATTGCTATAGATCACAACTTTGAACTAGATATTATTGATAAAATGCTAACACATAAACAAAATAAAATTCAACAAAATTTAGTTTATATTAACAATCCTAATATGGTACATGAACTAACCACCAGTAAGAAATACATTTCTCTTACCTTTATTGGAAAAGCATCCTATAAAGTGGCTAGCTTACTCAAAGACCACTTTAAAGTATCTTTCAAACCCCCTCTTCATTACATAAGTTATTTGTTCATAATAAAGATAAATTAGATCCCTTTGACTTATCTGGAATTTATAAATTAACTTGTAAATCTTGCCATTCTTTCTATGTGGGACGCAAATTTCTAAATTTCAAGATCCGTTTAAAAGAACATTTACGTTGTCTTAACCAAAATACAACAGGTTTTTCACATTTTGCCAACCACCTACTGGACTCAAATCACGACTTCGATTCAACTGAAGGTTTCGAAATCCTTCATAGTTCCTACAATAGATTTACTCTTAATAGCTTCGAAAACCTCGAGATATTGAGACATTTAAAATTAAATCCTGTTGGTTGCTTAAATGCCCAGATATTGTCAGAAACTCCTCCTGTTTTCTCAACACTAATCTAAATTTATCGTTCTAACTTCCTTTTTAACCTCCCCCCTTTATTTCTATTCACATATCTTCTTGCAAGGGGTACATTTCAGTAAGTAATTTTTATATTTTTCCCATAAGAAACCAACGAGCACGTGTAAAGATTAGGTTAGATTGTCTGATATCCACATGCGTCATTTTCTTCTTTTATTCTTCAGTTGCTTCACAACAGTTAACCCAGTCATTTTTTCTTCTTTCTTCTTCCTACAACATCACATACACTTGGTGATTGGTTCATGGCCCAAATCTTATATAATAGATAATAAATAATTCTTCACTCATAGTTTACATCTTATTAACTATACCCTGTCATAAGTTTACCCAAGAATTTTTTCGTTATAATACTTACCACCACCTGTAGAGGCCTTAACTTGACAGGTCTCCTTTCAAAAAATGTTAGTTTTTTAAAAAAACAACAATGTTTAAAATAGGCCTTATCTTTTAATCTGTTTAATGTATGTGATTTGTTTTTGTATAGTCTTGAATATTTTAAATTTTTACTATAATTGGCTAATATTTGTTTTTTTCAAATATTTTTAACTGTTTATTACGTGTAAATCGGTTCATTTTACAATTTATTTCAACCCAAAATTGATGAAACTTGTTTTTGTAGTATTCCCTAGTGGATGGAGAGTATGGTGAGTTTTCTCTTTTTTATTATTTTATATATCGTTTTGTTTCCAACACACCTTACACTACATATTCTCCTTTCCACTAGGCGAGCCTGAAGATGAAGTGATGACACTTCGAAACCGGTCGCACTCAATGTTTTGTTAAACAATTAAACATTGGCTTTCCTTGTGAGATATAAAGGACTTTTTCTCACCCTTCACCTTAAAATTATTTTTATGTGTTCTATCTGAATCCGGAAGATTGCCCATATCCCTGAACACAATTATAGCAATTAGCAAATTAGAAGAGGAATAAATACTTATGTTTTCTATTTACCAATTACAAATCACATTTACAAATGGAGTAAGGAATGATGAAAAAACAATTTTCTCTAGTAGGCCATGACCGTCATGTATATTTCTTTCCATAGCCTACATAAGAAAAATATTTCGTGGATTATTTCATATAATTAATTACCATACATTGTTTCAGAAAATTACAATTCCAATGTGGATTTTAACGTTTGCAGTGATTTTATTGTGCGTTTTTGGAGGTTTTAGTACCCTACGAGGTCCTGAATATAATAAGCTTCAAAATGCTTTTTATATTGCATTTGTTAGACCATCTTTCGCAATGACAGTTGGATGGGTCATTTGGGCATGTGCTACAAATCATGGAGGTATGATAAATATATAATAATGCAATTCGCTTAGATAGGGAGTGATGTTTCCGAAAATAATTTTAAAATATAAAGAATATCTTAAATATGTTTCTTAACCAAATGATATTTAGGCTTATAATAATTATCTACTTTTTATTCAAAAACAGTTTTTCTAAATAATTTCTTCTTTTGCACATGGGTCTTAAATAAAAGCCGCAATCTTTTAGAAAACAAAAGAGAAAAATTTAACGTTATTTAAAAACAGGGTTAAATTAGGATAGGTAACCGAACAAATATTAACATATTCTAACGAAATAAGGACTATTCAGAAAAAAAAAAATAAACGAAAGCAAAACGACAATAGCGGGCCGAATGGGTACTTTCTCAACTCGTGCGTTCGCAACTCGGGCGTAATATAAAACTACCTGAATTCGTCGCATCTCGGGCGCCCTCCAAAATTGTGCACCTGTGAGTTCGCAACTCGGGCGTCGACGGGATATGAAATTTGACCATAGTTTATGTACCCTGATTCTGATAACAATCTGATTCAGGTAGTAATGCATTATCAAAAATTTAAGAGAAATAAATGACATCGGAGAATAAGCTTTGATTTTAACAGATAGCGAGCATTGAAAAGTTAGTTGATGTAAAAAAATTGAAGATTTTTCCATTACGGTTTATTTTAGAGAAATCATGTGTAGAATAAAAAATATAGAGCATGATATTAAGATCATTTTCAAACTATTGGCGATTTCTAAAATATTTCCGAAAATAATTTGGTCACTAGGGGTATTATAAGTGAAAATGAGAAAAATTCGAATTTTGCACTTTACCTCAAATTTCCCGAATTCGGTCTATTTTATAGAAATGTATGAAACAAAAATTATAGAGAATTACATTTTAAGCAACTTTTATTTGAAGAATTTTCTTTAAAATTCGAATTTTGCACTTTTTGTCAAAATTCTCGAATACGGACCATTTTAAGGAAATCATGAATATGATAAAATAATATATAAATATTACGAAACGCCTCAGAAACATTTATAAAACATTCCTAAATTGTAAAAATATCCTGTAAATGTAATATTTCATATATTTTATAAATAATAATTTGAAACCTATCAGAAATATAACATACTGATATTTCAGAAATGTATCAAACAACAGACGCAAACTTCCAATTATTTAGAATATATGGTTTTCTCTAATATAGAATTTTAGTACTTAAAATAAAATGACTACAACATAACCCATCTTCTTTCTCTTCTTACAAATGAGAAAATTTTCAAATCTTGGCCATTTACAACATAACAAACATAAACCAACTTAATATTTCAAGTATAATCAATGAAAATGTTTAAAAATATGATTGCAATAAAGTAGAATAATTAATATTTTTAGGTAAAATATAAACAAAACGTCAAAGTGTTTCGATACAATAACGTTTTTATTACGAGTTTTATGTAATTTAAAGAAACGTTAATATTAAACGTGTATGTATCTTAATATCCAACTTTCGGTTGAACCATAAGTACATAATAACATTTAAAAAGAATATTAAAATAAACTAGAATAATTAATATTAAATTAACGTAGATATTTGGTTTACATTATTAACCAAACGTTAAAAAGGTTGAAATACAATAATATTTTACATGTTATATATATTTAACAAAATGATTAACTTTTAGTTACATAACAACGTTTAAATATAATATTAAAATATAGTTAAATAATTAATATTCAAATAAGGTATATATTTAGTTTAAAAAATAAACTAAACGTCTAAAACCTTATATGCACCCATTAGATATCAATTTTTATGAGTCGTATACGATTTGTCAAAAAAAATATTTTTGGCCAAGAGTAAAGTACATTCATTTTTGACAAATCTCGTATACGACTTATACAATTTGATATATGATGGTTGTATTTTAAGGTCTGAGATCACGCACAATTTTTTATGAGGACATTTTTTTCATAAAATTATTAATAAAAAAAAGTTTTCCATATACTCTCCTAGTATACGGCTCAAAAATGTGATGTATTTTAGGTTTTAGACCATCCACAACTCTTTATGCTAAATATTTTTTTTTTGATAAAACTAATAAAAAAAAGTTTTCCATATGTAGCCAACTTACACAAACACCCTACATAAAAAATGTATTAAAATAAAAATTGAATAGCTAGCCGAGGTAGGTACACTATTATTTATCAATCTAATTATATAATAAATAAATTACACTTTTTTCAGTAAAAACTACAATTTCAAATGTCATAACAATGTAATGTAAAGATTATGTTCGCAGAGAAAGATAAATAAAAAATCTTGTTTCATGAAAGTTACATAATATTTAAAAACTGGCAAGCTCCTCCTGTATGGCACTCCGTATATAATTTTAAGTTTAAGCCGAAAGCACCTTCTCAGGTACCGATCCTTGAACGCCCGAGTTGCGAAGGGTATTAAATCTACCTGTAGCCTTCCGCCCGAAATGCGAAAAATTAAGGATTCCGCCCGAGTTGCGACGCACGAGATGCGCATAAATCGGCCGAATGTCATGCAGGCCTGCCTTAGGCCTTAATTGTTAAATAATTAATCAAAAATTGTAAAACGTTATGGCAAAATATATATTATTAAAACGAAAAAAATAAAGTTAATTTTATTTTTAAAGATCCTTCGAGTAATCAAATTTGTTATTTCACGTAATAAAATAAAATCAATAGAGAAATTTGAATAGAAGAAAAAGAATAAGACCCCAAACTTGCAAAAGAACAAAAAAAGAAGAAAAAAATAAGAAGAAGAAGAAAGTAATTGGCCAGTAATCTAGTTGGTTTTGGTAATTTAAAATCTTGTTAGCAAAATATTTATATTAAGATGTTTTACTTTCTTCTCTGGCATTTTCAAATGTTCAGTAGATAAATATAGTATTCGAATTTCGTGATATTGTATAGTACAAGCAAAAGTTATAGTGTGACTTTAAAGTTTAAAAGCCAGCCGGCAACATACAAAAAACTAAGGAAACTTGATATTCTTTATCTTTCGGCACAACAAAGGGATTTATATATAGACATCTACAACCGAAGCACAGGGATGGATCTAATTAGTTATTTGTTGTATGTTACGCTTTAATGTAAGATTATTATATATTTCAAGTGGAAATGTTATACGCATTTAAAAATTATCACAGTATATGCATAATTTCCTAACTTCAAATACGTGTTTCATAAATGTTACTAAATTTAGTTTTAAAAGACAAATTAATTCCTAATAAATATTCGTGACCTGTAATCAAAATCACCATTATTTTCATCTACTATTTATATGATTTAATTGAAGTATTTAAATATTACATTGAATATTAAAAATCAATGTAGGTTACGAAAAATGCTTGAACAACTGTTATTTGTATCCTTTTATTATAAAAAATTTAAAAGATTGTGGAATGTATTAATCTGACTTTAATTTCTAAAGTGATTAAAGCACGCAAGCCTTCTCACCATATCAAGGTTACATTCCTAGAAAAGGAAAACAGGAACAATATCATGTTCCTTTCCAAAATAACGTGAACCAACAGATAGGTGGTTACGTTTAAAAAAGTAAAAATATAACTAAAATGAAAAATTTAATCTTATCAGAACTATCATCTTCACTTGACGTGTCATTCAGGTTTATAATACAAGAATGAGCCGGAAATATTCGATGATTATTTTCAATTTTGGTAACATGGAGAACAAAATTGGGCCATAATTCTTGAGATATACCTCCAACAATTTCTCTGATAACATCTAAAATGCTTTCAGACAATGCAGGATTAACATTTTTTTTCTGACCTCTCTTTTAATGTTACTTCAAATTAATTTTATTGCATTTAATGTTCAATAATATGGTGTGGTAAGGGTATTACGGTAAGACTGAATGCCTTAGCCATCTCATCCACAACATAGCTATGTTTGAGATTTAAGCCTTTCAATATTGTAAGCAAATCTTTTTTTAAAACTGTAGGTAAATATGATACACCCTTTTGTCAAAAAATGCTAAAATTACGTCTTTTTGCTTTTGGAATTTTACTAGTTTGACAAGAGTGGTAGGGGGCATTATCCTTTACTATTATAGCATTTGGTGGCAAATTAGGAATTAATTGTTCACCAAACCATTTATCAAACAAGGTAGATATCATAATGTTGGTGATAATCTGCTGAATAACTCAAAATATTGTTTGCTGGTATTAGCAAGCAATTCGGAACAAAAACCGTTTTCATTATCGGCATATAATTTTGTAATACGTTTTCCTCTATTTGAAGGAGCCTTTACCGAACATTTAGCAGATTAATCACTCCATCCTTTTTTTCACAATATCATGAGTGTCGTACCAAGTCTCATCAATTATAATTCTTTGCGATTCCATAATATGCTGTTTTCTATTTAAGGTACGATATCTTAAACACACAGAATGGAGCACTTTTCTAGTGGTTTTATTAGATTCGTAAGGAAAACCAGGAACCATTTTGATTTCATTTTTAATCATTTGAAAAGATGGTACAATATTATTAGAATAAAAATTATAAACCTTTCTTCTAATATTTTCCATCATGCAGTGATCTAGACTTACTAGAGACCTAATAAGAGGATTCAAACAACTCGAGCAAATGCTGTTCAAGCAACATCAACATCTTGTTTCGAATTATAATATTCAACGAAATATTTAGATAGGTGTAACACTTTCTTTGCTTTTGAGATAATTCCAAACATAAGGCGTAAATATAAGAAAATTTGGCTAGTTTCGAGTGTGCTTAGTTGCACGGTTTTTTACACCACCTCTTCTTTATCTCACATTTTAAAAATCAGAAAAAATGTACAACGAACTAAGTTAATTTTCTAAAAAGTTTATTCACAAACCTAGTTCGGTCCTGTCGGTTGTATTTCCAACCATCTGGGTGCATATTCTTGAAATTGGGGAGTGAAAAATATTGAGAGAAAATTCTCACTTTCTACTCCCTTCTGAAAATTCGTATTCTTCAAATCGAATGCACCAAAATTGGTGGAGAATTTTCTCTCAAAACTTTCTCCTACTTTTTGGTAGAGAAAATAAAAAAAACGAGAGAATTCAATTCACAATCATGCGCAGTATGTCAAATTTTAAACAATCAAAAGCAAGCGACCCATAACGGCATAGGCATAACCTCATTTATCGTTTGTTATTTCTACAAATATTGTGTTATTGACTTACCTTCTTCCAGTGGCAATAATCCTTGGCAGGTGCCCCTGGGATAGAATTTAAAATATTAGTAATTTCTACCCAGAGGGTTTTCGAAGATTCTTTTGTAAAGTAATTCGTAAGTTTTCCAGAATTCATTTGAGGATGATTATTTACAAAATTAATTAATAATTCTTTTTGTTTGGATGTAATATTTTTTTTTGAATCCATATTAAAAAATATACTCAGTTAAAATAAAAAAAACTCCTAAATACTAATAATACTGGCTAATAATAAATAAAATGAAATGTAACAAGAATAATAAATACTATTAAAATAAACTCCTAAAGGGGTCTATTCTTTAACAATTCCTTTATATTTAACGGCCTTTAAAAATATTGACGGCCTATAAAAATATGTTCGTATTCGTTAATTTACTTCTATCATTATTTAAACAGATTTCTTTAAGATAGTCCTCTAATGTATTTTAAAGATCCGTTTAAATAGTGACCGAATTAAAGAAGAATAGTATATTACATTACGAGTGTGGAAAATCACTTTTCACACAAGTGATGTACAATATTTTTCCTACGACCACAAAATAATTTCATCAAAAAATGTAAAACCAGATTATTATAATAATTAAAATGTATTTAAAAAAATAATCAACAATAATCGTATTTATTAAATTTTCATAATTTCTAAACAAATAAAAAAAAATAAAAAAAAAATAAAAAAAAAATTCTGGCACAGCCAGGATTCGATCGCGGTTGTTGGACGGTCTCAAATTGCAAAGTTGATGCTCTAACCAACTGAGCTAACAGGCCTTACGGTAATTGATTGATCTAATCGCTTATGTGTTTAACCAGAATAAAAAGCAAATATATCTTAGTTATTTTAAAATTATTTTAAAAATAATTGTTAAAGATAAATATCTAGGATCTAATTTACAATAATTTAACAATCATATCGATTTTAGTATTAATATGGACATTAAATAGATCAAAATAGAAATTATGTGTTTGACATTTTCTGACAGCTACTGCGGAAAGTAGCATATTCTCACTTGGGTGGAAAGTAAATTCTTATTCATACGCGTGTGATATAGGGCACTTTCCATAGGTCTATATAGTGTGATATGTGTCACTTTCCTAAGTGGTCGTAGGAAAAATATTTTTAAAGGCCGTTAAATATAAAGGAATTTTTAAAGAATAGACCCCAACTACTAATAATACTAAAATACTGGCTAATAATAAATAAAATGAAACGTAACAAGAATATTAAACACTATTAAAATACTAAATAAATACTGGAATAAATAAAAATAAAACCATGCAAAATCGTAATAATCGTATAAACAAACAAGACCACAACAAGACTTGACAAGAATACGAATTAAATTTCCTAGCTTCTAATTGGTCAGATGATCACAAATGATCCACAACGAGCTGACAACTCTGTAACTATTTTCACCGTCCACTTTCTCCTCCCTTGGCTTTTACGTTATTTCACGAATACCAATTTTTTGAAAAAGTGAAAATAAAGTGAGAATATTCCCCGGGGAGTTTCAGTTTCTCTCGTTTTCAAGCATACGCTGTGAATCCACAGCTGTGGTGAATCGTTGATCTGCCGACGAGTTAGTCAAGCCGCAGATTTTTTAAGAGTACATTCAACAAGATGACGAAAGTGGATATACAAAATTTCCTAATGGACAATGATTTGTATTTTTAAGACAGCTATAAGAAAAAAGAACTTCTTAAAGTATTACAGACGAAACAATTTAAAAGAGTATACGCCATAGATAGTATTACTGAATATCATGGACATACTGTATTGAGATTTCCTCTTATTTTTTTATTTTTAATGGGATATTAAACCACATACTTTAGTGTCGTTTACCTTATCGTTCATCAATTAAATTAAAATTTCTTCATTTTGCAGTATTGACGATTAATTTCAATTATTTTAATCTAGAACCGAGCGGCTGACGAGAAAAATACAAGATGCCGTATTGATGTACAATTGACCAATCAAATGAGTAAAAATATTAACACCGAAAAATATCAGTGGCGTACTACTTTTTTTGTAGAAAATATCAGATGACATGTTTGCAGAGACGCCATTGGTAGAGCAATAAAATACATTTTCTAACTAAAATATATGGTTTTATATCCCATTAACACATGCCAAAATTGAAAATTATATCTAAACTGTTATATTAAAAACAAATTTTCAACTGCCTGTAGCAAAAAATTGAAGCCGTTGCGGACATATGTTCATATGAATTTCTTCATAAAATGACCTGAGGAATCACACCCTACAATATTAGCATACCAATCATCATCATCTGAATTAGGGCGTGGTTCAAAGCCCACTTGTACTGAAGCTCTAGGCTTATTGTACCCCTCACAGTTTCTATCCCATCAGATTGATTTTCTTGATGAATTCAAGAATATGTCTGATAGGCGCTTTCTCGATTTCTTCAGGTTCCGGATATTGTACCCCGAAGTACCATTCCCGTTCCCATTTAAGGTTCCGGCAGTGGCATAGTATGTGAATAGGAGTTTCGTCCTCCTCTTCACATATTCTACATAGGGAGTCATCATATATCCCTAAGAGATTTAGGTGTCTTCTAAGGCCGCAGTGTCCCGTAAGGAGTCCTATTACGGCCTTGAGTTCGCTTCTGCTAGGAGGTCTACTTTCTCGTTTCCAAACTCTCCCCTCATGTCCTGGCACCCATACAAGAGTGACCTTGTTATGTTCTGCCAGAGCCTGGAGGGACTGTTGGCAATCAAATATTGATTTAAATTGTACTTCTACCCTTTTTAGTGCTTTAAGGGCTGCCTGACTGTCTGTCATGATAACGATTCTCTTATCTCTAAGAGAGTCATTTAGCATGACTTTGGCGCAGGCATTTATTGCCGTTACTTCAGCCTGGAAGACTATTGTCAGTGACCCCAGGTTCAAACTAATTGTCCTCCCTGAGTTCACATGGTAGATGGTAGATCCCAGCTCCTGTGCTGTTTTTCATTTTCGAACCGTCTGTATACCAGATTGATTCGTTTTGTTTTTCCCTTTTTTCCCGGCTTTTGGCCCTTTCTGGTATTTGAATATCAAAAGGTTTCCTGAAGTCGTGAATAATGGGCGTTCTATCCGATGGCATTCTAAGTACCGGATTTTGTTTTAATTTCTCTAATATCATTGTGTGCTGTCCTTTTCTCAAAAGTTTCCATCCAAATCCATTAGTAAACAGCCTGTATGCCGCCGCCATAGCCTCCTTCTCCACCACAAGGTGTAGTGGAGGAAGACCTAGCAGTAGCTCCATTGCTGCTGTGGGCGTATTTCTAAATTCCCCTGTTGTTATTAGACAGGCTAGTCTTTGTACCTTGTCTAATTTGTTTTTTCTTTCAGCTGTTATGCTTTTAGTCTTGTGCCACCATATGACTGATGAGTAAGTTATAACAGGTACTACAACCATAGTGTAAAGCCAGTGCATCATACTAGGTTTAAGCCCCCATGCGTTCCCTATCCTATAAAGAGGAAGCCTTACCTGCATACAAAATTTGAAGTTTTTCTTCTAAGCCCATTTTGAGTTATTGCGCCAACAGACAGATGGCGGACAACAGACGGCAGACAACAGACGGCGGACAGACCACGGAATGGGGAAAACATGTTTTTCATAATCTATGAACCCGAAAACGTGAAAATCTAAATGTTCACGATTACAATATCGAGGGAAGTAAAAATAAAATAAGTATACTCAATCTCTTTAATGCTCCTCTACTAATTTAAAGGTGATGTATCAGTCTCCTTAGTTTTTTTTTTGTATGTTGCCGGCTGGCTTAAAAGCTTTAAAGTCACACTATATCGTTTGCTTGTACCATACCTACCTAATAGGGTTTTACTACTTTATACCAATTTCTTAAGCTTTGTTCAGTGTTCAGTTCGCTGGTCGCTCTAACTCTGAAAGTTTGGGTTTGGTAATACTAGGTTGTTTTACCGACGACGCGTCGCTCGACGCAACGCTATTGCATCACCGCGCTCGCTGCTCCTACTCTGAACTAGGCTTTACTGATTGTATAATTGAATAACTTTTTCGTTTTTAGGTATCGTAAATACTATTTTATCGTTACAAATTTTCCAATTTTTAAACAAATTTATATACAGCATGTACCTGATTCACGTAACAAGTTTATACATGATAATTTTTTCAACTAAAACTGCAGTATACATTAGCATTTTTAATTTGGTAAGTTGTATTTATCCAATTATTCAGTTTAAGTTGTGAGCCACAAAATGTTTCTCTATAATTGGTCATATTAACTACATAAAACAACAATAACAATTCTTTGTATTTTTGGATTTTATTTAGAAGTTTGGGTAGTTGCCACGGACATTGCGTCTTTGTTGTTCGTGGTCCAGGTTGAATTTTTTTTCTGGTCACAAGTTAAATGCTTCTTAATATAATATTGAAATTCGTAATTCAATTTTATAATTTTTTAGGCTTACTGGTTTTGGGGAATATTTATGTTTATGTTTGGAATTTCAACAATATGGGTTCTAGTTTTTGAAATGCCGATTGTAGTTTTAGAAAAAGTTTTACTACCTCCATCTGGTAAGTCTTGAACTATGCAAAAAATTACCAAACGAGGTTTATATAAATTGATTTGATAATTATTATATACAGGTTTAAGTATTACATCTATGGCAGAGACTAGGTTTCTACAATAAGTAATAGCTGTATTTATTTTTATTCTTTAAGGGTTCTTCTTTGACCCCAAACTTTTTATTAAAAGAATAATTAGTTGAAAACGGAACTTCACTGACTTTACAAACCTATTTTAAAACTTTTGTGACAATCTTAATGTGAAAGGTACAGCCACAGTTTATAGCTAAAGAATCAGTTAGCTTACTCTGCTTCGGCACTGATCTCAATGTTCCAGTATATGCATTGCGCAACCCGGATTTGTATCCCTGGCGCATACAGAATCAAATCATAATAGCCCAAGAGCCCACTGCAAATTTTTACCGTCATCTACTAGGTAAGTGCGTTGCATGAAGAAATATAGTAGGGTAACCTTATGGACTTATCATTGGAGGACGATGGACATAGAATGTAGATGGCGATACTGTACTTATGTCCAAGTCAGTTCTTTAGGTCATGTCTGTGCTTGAGTATGAATTATAATTTAAAATCTTCTTTTTCATTTCTACTTGTCTTCGGTAATGTATTTTTATAGTTACAATTTACTATTTCAAATTATTACAAAAGCACAGAATACAGGGTATTTGAAGGTCACATAAAATGCGAAAATAATCGATATAATAAAATAAACCAGTTTTTGTTTGAAAAAGATTGAATTAGTTGAGATTGGGTGGAATTTTACTATAATAGGGAACATTTTTTTTCTATATTGTGGTTGGATTTTGGATATATCGCTGATGGTTAATTAAACTTGAGTTGTACGCTGTTAATTTATATTCACTTTTATTTAATGGTATCATCAAATTAAGAATAGGACATGAACAACTGAATATTATTGTTCAAAATGAGACGAATAGACGAAAATAAAAATTGTTTGGATAAAATGTTCTGAAATACAGGTTGTTAAGTTGAAAATTAAAAAAGTAATAATGGGTAAATATATAGGTAGTTATAATTTTATTCAATATAATTTTACTAAAATCGGCACTGACAAAATTTAACTAACAGATTTTTTTGCTGTTAGGTAAACTTATAACGTAATACCAAACACATTTAGTGAAATTATACTAAGTAATAAAAACATGTAAGCCACTAATTTTCAGTTTTCAACTTTTGACACCATTTGAAAACGAATCGAGTACCAATTTGTGGTAGGCACATTTAGGAGTATTATTTTCGAAAGGCAAAATTAAAATTTTTTTATTGTTTTTTTTTGTACATGGAAATACTTTGCTGCATGTCTGCTGCATGTCCTACAATGATGAAGCTCTCAACGAAGGCGTCTTAAAAAATAAATTATAGAAAATGCGAATGTTACATATTTGATTAGATAATTAACAATGACATAAACTTTCATTGCTCAGGACGTTACGTGCTCAACTTTGGGTTTCGTAAAGATCAGTTACTGACTACTACTATTTTTTTCTGAACTGTTATCAAAATACTACAAAATTTAGCAGAAAGATTGCATTAATTATATTTTTCATATTTTTTCCAAAATAAGAAAGAATGTTTTTATATGTAATTGAATCTGGGTTGGGAAATCCAAACTTGAATGCTTAACGACTTAAGTCTTGAAGGCACTTATATCAAGTTAATTATCTAATCAAATATGTGACGTGGCTTTTTAAAATACTATCATTGTGCGCTCCACTGCGTGTCCATCTTCTACAAGAGAAAAAAGGAGGAAACATTTGTAAAGTTGCCTTGTACAAATGTGTACCAAAAGAGGGCAACTGGCTCTCGTAAGCCTTTTTCGTTTAATCGTCTCATTATTTTAACACTAAGCGCCAGCATGGGAAATATATGTTAAAGTTAGTTTTAAGAACTTTTAACATTCAAATAAACAAAAACAATTTATAAATCTATTATTAAAATCCGTGTTGGAACAAAACATAAAATTGTTGAATTTGAAAGATAATATTCTAAAAGTGGAAAGGATTTCAGTCGAGAGCCTATTGGACTGAATATTCAGTTTAAAATCGCTTTTCCGGCCTATAAATCTTCAATTGTTTCAAAACGAATAAAATAAAGTAGTTCTGTCTAAAACTAAAATAAATTTGCTATCTCGAAGTCCCCATCGATTATTTCCAAACTTTTCTTTAACGTCTTAGTTGTAAGTTTTATATTACATTTTCTTTAATTTGCTATTTCTGTGGAATCATTAATTTTCACTTGCATTATTGTTCTTCTAAAAAAGCGAAATGTGACTCACGTTTTGCTTGATTGGCTTTAATTTTTGAGATAGTCAACCAGTCAAAATAAAAAAAATTCAAAAAATAATAAGACATTAATTTATTTATTTAATCAGTTTTGTCTGAGCTAACTGAAAGGCTGTATTCTATAAACAATGAAAAAGAGTGATTGTTGTTTTGAACTACTTAAAACATTTTCACTCGAACGGCGTGCGTGATTCAATTTAAAAATACTTTCCAGAATAAAACCACGTGTTACAGTTTTGACTTCATTTATTACTAAACAGCCAAGTCATATACAAAAACGTTAATCCAAAATCTAAATTAAAAGTAATAACAAATAGCCTATCTACTAGGGTCGGTAACCAAACATATAAACAGAATGGGCGGATTTTGTTCATACTTAACATTATACTCGCGCACTGACACTTAACCTGGATTAAATATAAAACAGTGATAAATTATATAAAAAAAATGTTTTTTTATAAGATTTTCTTTTATGTTCAAAGTTAGGACTTTATAATTATTGTGTCGTTCATAGAATTCTGTACTAAATAAGAGCACTGATTTTGGAAATAAATTTTAACCATTTTGGCAAGTTGCTGAACCTTGTAACATTGCATAATGAAATATAAAGACTAACTGAATATGTCTGCCACAGATAGACCACTTGTAGGTCTATTGATTTCGTCTTGAGGTATTCCTAAAGAGTGGAGCTATTGAAAACTTCCTTTCAAGGTGATTTATTTCAACACTCAGAGCCAGCCGAGAGAACATTTTTTTCTTATATTCATGATCAACAGCCAAGATACGTTTGAAAGTCGCTAATATATCCCTGTGACTATTTTTTTTAATTTGTTTTCCATTGTTGATTGATTTTTCCCTGATTAGTGTGATTTTCTTGTTCCTTAACTCAATATCTTGCAAACTGTTGAGCTTTGATGAAATTTTGTAGCGAAGCTTGTTCAAATTTTGAAAACTATAAAAATATTCAGCTATTTTTATGGTTATAAACTTTTCCAACACTTAGTCCAATTTTCAGAAGCTTATTCCTTTTTTGTTTTCTACTTGGAACTTTTCAATTTATTTAAAACATTGGACATTGTTATAAGTTGTTATTAGGTATTCTTTGTTATTGTTTATATATTTTGACATAACCGCACATAACCAAAATATTGACCAAAGTCCTTAACCACTTTTTATCACCTTAATCCAAAAATTTTATTCGTACGGTTTTGTCAACTGGAATAAATTTCATTATTATGTTTAATTTTTCATGTCTTTTATCATAAATTGTTATTTTTAAATAAATAAAGATGTTTTTAACTATAATAGGTAGGTGATAGAGGCCATGTGCCTGAACGAAAAGAAGACGTAGATGGCGTATCTGCATAGCATTAAAAATTGACTACTTCATTAAATCGTCACTAGATGCCGCTCGAGATTGCATCCAACACTTTTTACTGTTGCGTTATCCTACTATATTATCTTCATACAACGGTAAGTGTGTAGAGGCATAATAACTTCTATTCGGTGGTTTATTGTGGCTCCATCTATGAGCAAGGGGCACAACTACATGTTATTTCACTTTCTAATGTAGAATGTTTGAGCTCGAATAATTCCTAGACACGCAGTGGTATCCAAAGAAAACATGATAGTGTGGGCACTGAACACAATTTGGTTAATAATTTTTAATCTGCGGTCGTCCTCAAAGAGCAAGTGATTTTATCAATTAAATCAATATAGCAAGTTGAAAAAGTAAGTCTTTTCGTAGTTTTGCAAATATTTTTGTATTTTTCAGATATAATCTAAAAATTTTATTTACTAAACAAGTTGTCCCACAGAAATCTCATATGTGTGCAAGTGTGTAGTAAATAGTATGGACAAGTGTATGTAAGGTATTACCAATTAATTATTACATGTTGAATACTTGTTAAATTAAATTATTTTACAAACTTTCATTTAATAATAAACATATTTTTGATATTTGTGAAAATATACAGAATTATTTAAATTATATCGTCAAGCTGATAGTTAACTAAAAAGTCCAATAAACTATAATCCAATTTTGCTTTATTTTTGATGTACAGGATTCAGGTAATCAGAGACCTGCAAAATTGTTAGTTTTAATTTTTTCCACGAAAAAAAAAGTAATTTAAAAACATTTAAATAATATTTTAACTTAGTTTATTTAAAAAAGATGAAAAATTCACAAAATCTACTGGGCGATATTTTTGTGCCGAAAACTAATCGAAGTGCCCTGTAAGCACGCCTCTGAATTACTGAATCAGCTGTTACATGTCCAGTGGTGTTCCGGTTTTAGATAAATATGCCTCTAAAACAAGTTAGGGTCAAAGGGTCATTGATCTCCTTTGGAAATCCATAAAAAATAAATAAAAAAAATGAATGCGGCGACTGCGTGTTTATTATGCATTGTCTACTAGAATGCAATATAAATTTTCATGATTTAATTTTGAACCGATTTTGAGCAACGTTTTTTAACTTACACGCCCTGTAACTGTTTTGTATGCACCTGTGTACATAGGTAAATAAAAACATTAATAAGTACAAAACATATACTAGAAAAGAGAGCAGACAAGCAACTCCTACCTCAAATATTGACAATAAAATTGTTCCTATCTACGTGGAATCACTATCTTAATAAAGTATTGAGAATAGGGAACTAATAACTATGGAGATTATAAAAACTAGAATAAAAATGAATATTCTGGTTTTAAAACACGACAAATTTATTTTTGGTGAAAAATGGGTTTTACACGTCTATATATTCACATTCTAGCCTCTAAAATCTAGTACTATATCTACAGTGGAAAATCCCGTAAATCTAACCTATATATTTGAGTCTATATATATGGAGTAGGTTTCAAAATCCGACAAATCATATAATAATGGTAACATCTCGATAACATTTCTCAACATTTAATCTAGACATCTATGAATAGATTATTCAAATAGTACATTTTTTTAGATACAAATGAAGAATGTATGAAAGCAAAATCAAATAAGAAACCAATTGTCTAAGAAGAAATGTGGATGTGATTTTAGAAAGTATTTGTAAATGTAAATTTATGTAAAAGACAATGTATTTTAAATAAAAAATTTATTAAAAACGTTCATTATTTATATTCTTTGTAATAGATCATCCTGTAGCGATCTCCAATGAAATGGATTCAAAATTCGTCCAAACCGCGCATGGCGTAATGCGGAACTTTCAAGTTATTTTGACACTTTTCGATTGAATAGTATAAAATAATTTAATAATTTATTTGTTTTTGTATTAGTAGTGACCATATTTTCCTATATATAACAGGGAAGAACAAAATTAATGTTTAAAATGCTGGGCTGCGCGGTGGAGATATATCCGACTGCCACAAAATATGGGCAAATTCTTATCGAAGAAAGGACAAACTTAATTGAAGTTGCCCTATCCACTTTGAGGATAGTAGTCGTGAGATTTATCTTAAACATAGACGCAAGAAAAGGAAACTGAATTCCACCAGATGCACGGGCCTCATTAAGCAAAGAAAATAAATCGGTATTTAAAAATTTTAACAGATAAAACAGTATTTTCCTCTCCCAATAAAACGGTCCTTTTGAAGTAATGCCATGCATGAGCAGGACACGAGAATAAGAATAAGAATAAGAATAAGATAAATGAACAAGAAAATTGGTTTTGAGTATTTTCAAAGTAAACTTGACAAAAAATGTTTGAATTTACCAAATAAAAAGTAATGTTTTTGTGTACTTACTTCTTATAAATAAATAATTTGTTTCTGGACACTTATTTTTATTTCACATAATAAGAAAAAAGAAAGTACAAATTGAGTCTAACTTGTATTTTTAGTCTATATCTTTTACTTATCTTATGACCAGGTTATGGATTTTGTCCCAAAATACCTATAATTTATGAGAAAAATTAATGTTTATTAGTATTATTTACCTTAAACCTTCATATTTTTTGTAAACGAATTTATTACAAAATAACCACTAAAGATTAAGTAACTGCATAAAATCTAAAATTGGCAAAATATCGAATTTTAAACCCTATCTCCTATTTTTTTTTTCTGTTTATGGCCTAGGTGTATATACCTAATATGCTAGTCTCAAATTTGTGTTTTAAATTCTCAATCATGTGTGTTCTGTGTAGGCTTTGTTACTGTTTCCCAGCGTTACTTCAGGAACAGCACTGTTAATTAGAACCCAACAGTGAATGGTCGAGTGGGGAATTCTACCAAGGCATCAGAATTAATTTTAAATAATTAAATTAAATAAAAAAATCCCGGCCAACGGTGGGTCTCGAACCTGAGACCCTTGGATCCACAGGCAGAGACTCTACCACTGAGCCACCCACCCTCCTATCTCCTATTTAATGCTTATAATTATGTCCCACGTGACGTCACCATCAGTCAGCTGCATGCGCAGGAACATACCGTTAGTCTGTGTATCGTGATTAGGTTGACTATGAGAATTGCCATAAAAAATAAATTTATTTAACTTGATCTAAGAAAACCTTAGTTCAAGAATTATTTAGAAACCCTCTAAATAATTCTCTACAATATGGCGCAGTCAGAGCAAAACGAACCAATTATCCAAATTGACTATGGTCTTCGAGCATATATTATGCTCGAAGAATATGGTAAAGGAGATGACGGTACCCAAGACAAGATTGTTTTTGTAAAAAAGGAGTTATCAGGTAATGTCAAAATGGATGACGTTTGCCACTTTAACTAAAACAGATCCTATAAAAATTTCTCAATACGACGGGCAAGGTGAGGATCCTTCTTCTTGGCTCAGTTCGTATGAATATATCTGTTCAGCTAATAAATGGATTACGGATAATGAGAAAATTTTTAATCCAAGAAAACAGTTACGAGTAAAAGGCATTGCATTAAGGTTGTACGAAGATAGAATCCTAGATAGTATACTAAATCATTATACATGGGAAAAATGGAAACTGAGTTTTATCAATACATTTGATGAAACTATTGTTTTAAAATGGAAGAAAGCTGTGAATTATAAATATAATGGTAATATCCTAGAATACTTTTACGAAAAACAAAAATTAATAAAATGGGCAGATAGTTACATTTCTGAACTTTCATTAGTGGCTATGGTAATTCTGGGTCTTCTCATTGGTGTTCAGAAACATTTAAGAGGCAAATTCATCAATTCCAAAAAATAACTTCTCCAACTACTAAAATCCTTAATGGTTGGTAAATATCCTGATAGACAGTGGCCAAGAAGAGATTCTCAAATGCAAGGCCAGCCAATAAGCAGTAATAAGAAAGACATTAGATGTGAAACTAAAAATGTGTTTAATGCTAGTAATGTTGAATGCAATATTGATTAAATAAATATTATTGAAATTTATTCTAGTCATTCTCTGACAAATTGAGATAATTTTGAGTATTTACTTTTATGGTCAAAAAGTGAAGCCATTATACGCCGACACTTGAACGGCGGATATAATTATTGAAATTTTATAGAAAGTTTCTAGATACATTTTTTTTTACCTTAAAATCCTTAAAATTTGTTGTCGGGTATCCAGCATAAAACAAATGTGAAATAAACCATTTTCACTGATTTCTTGTTGTAGAAACGGCTAAATATCAATATCAGACCATTTATAATAGTATATTACATAACGAGAGTTGTAAGGAGCTTATTACATGCGAGTAAAAAAGTTGCGCGCGAACCCGCGCCAACCGCGTAGCGGCGAGCGCAGTAATTTTATGAGCATGTAATAAGCTTACAGCTCTAGTAGCAAGTAACTTTATTTCACAAAATTTTGGAACAATTTAAATTAAACATTTATTTGTAATAATTAATTGTAACATTTTGGCAATTATTTATAACTATTCCCTTACGCGGTGAATGGTGGGATGACGTAAACTGAACGGTGTGTTCTTCAACATTTTGTAAATTATTTTTAACTATTCCCTTACGCGGTGAATGGTGGGATGACGTAAACTGTACGGTGTGTTCTTCTTGGACATAGGTCTTTTCAGTATGTAAAGGTTTGTAGATTATTTTCAATTTAATTTTTAATTCTATTGGCTGTTGAGGTCTTATTATTTATTGACTCATCGACATATCCTTTGGCTGTTGTTGAAGATTTCCATCCGCCATGTCGTTTAAGAGCCATTAGATGACCACCGGCATCAATCAAAAGAGTGGCAGAAGTTCGTCTTATACAGTGACCTGTATACATTTTGGGATCTGGTAACTTTAAATATTCGGCTATTTTGTTTAATCCTACCACTTATTTCGTACATTTACCTTTTTAATAGTTAAGGAAAAATTGAGTTACCTATTTGCGGATCGCTAATTTGTTGCCGAATCTCTATATATTGTTTGCAGATTTTATAGAAATTTCCGGAAATTACGAAAGATCTACATACTTTGGTTTTCGTATCAGGGTATTTAAACAATAATATGGTACTTAAATCATCGATATCACTAATTTTAATATTTTTTAATTCTTGTTTCCTACAAGCTCCACATATTCCAACAATTGCAATAACCTTAAAATAAAAGTACCTAATATAAGTATACATTTATGTTATAGGTACTATTAAATAACATACCTTTGTTAATAAATATTGTACATCAGGAGCTTTATATAAAAAAAGTTTTATCTGATCAGCATGTAAAATTTTAGATTTTTTGTTTTTAAAATCTTGTGACTGTCTTTTTAAGTAAGCTCGCAATTTCAGATAATTTTCAATGTTTACATTATTTTTCAAAGTTATAACACTTCTTAACATAGAATATATTGCCCATAATGAGGACGGTTTAAATTTTTTAGCGATTTCTCCAAAATAAGCCAAGAGTTCGTTTTCAGAAAATGATTTTATATTATTTGTTGTACGCCAATCCATAAATTGCTGATATACCTTTTCATATCTTCCTTTTGATTTTTCTGGTAATAGGTTATTGGTAGTGTTCGCAGCTAACTGAATAATATTGGGTGGTGTGCTACTAAATTCATCTTCACTATCCGATGAACTTGTTTTACTTTTTTCTATTTAAATTATTTGTACATTTACATTGACAGCTTGTATTATTAATTTAATTCTGTCAAAATAATGGCAACTGACTTACAAGGCTTATGTGATACATTATATTTTCATGGAACTGAAGCGTAATTTTTTTTATTACGTGCTAGTCATTACGTGTTAGTGACTGTAATGACATATTTACTTAGCATTCAAATAGTAGGTAATGGGCAATTCAGTAGTAAGGAAGTAGATAAAGCAATAAACCATACCAAATTTTTTTCATAAACGATCAAATATTCTTAATTTTCATTTTCAGTTTGTTAGAAAAACAAATAGACAGTAAATTATTTTCATTGACAATTAACGTTTCTAGTTTCTATAAATGCGGTGTTGCCAAATCCAGGAAAAAAACATATATGTCAGGAAATGAAAGTTGGCTGTTTGGAAATGGCTCCAGGCCATACACCCTAGCCGAAAAATTACATAGTGTCTTTCCAGCAGGTGAATTTGGATCCCAAAGTGAAAACATTTGTAGTAATCACAGATATCCGTCTTTTTATTTCATTTCATGATGATTGTGCTTTAATTACGGCATGTCAGTACTTATCTAATATTATTTGTAAAAAACTATTTTTTTTTCAATTTAAGCTGTGTCCAGGCCTTTGGAGTCTATGCCGGTAGGCGTAGCCAGGTATGGGTTCAAATTTTCTTGTGGCGGCTGAGCCGCCACCCTACAAGAAGTCGTTGTTTCGTCTTCTTTATGCATATTTTCTTATTATTAGATGCCCACTATAAAGACATTTTCGTTAAAAGTTGATATCGAGGTTCACTGGCCAGATGATAGTGAGGTTTGTTTAGGTTATGTTAGGTTAATCACTACAGCAGCTTCAGATAAAAAAATATTTGTCTGCAACCTTCCTTTAATTACTGGTGTGGGAAATTTTCGTTAGGAAATAAAAGGAGTGTGTGTGTGTGTGTGTGTGTGTGTGTGTGTGTGTGTGTGTGTGTGTGTGTGTGTGTGTGTACGTGTGTGTTTGTGTGTGTGTGTGTGTACGTGTGTGTGTGTGTGTGTGTGTGTGTGTGTGTGTGTGTGTGTGTGTGTGTGTGTGTGTGTGTGTGT